ACGTTTTCAGTTTTTGGCAGGTTAGCTGCTACTTGTAGTGCTTTGATCTTGCCTTTGGTTCTATTCTGTGTCTGGTGTTGCTGTTGCTTTTGTTTGTCTCGTGTTCTTGTCTTCGATTTTTTGTGTCCCTTGGTCGGCCGGTCAGCCGGTCAACCGGGCATTCCGCCGGTCAACCGGGCAACCGCCCCGGTCAGCCGGTCAACCGGGCAACCGGGCATTTCTTCCCCTAGTCGGCCGATCGGCCGGTCAGCCGGTCAACCGGGCATTCCGCCGGTCAACCGGGCAACCGCCCCGGTCAGCCGGTCAACCGGGCAACCGCCCCGGTCAGCCGGTCAACCGGGCAACCGGGCAACCGGGGAGGGGAGGGGTCAACCGGGATCCGGTCAGCCGGTTGCCCGGTCCGGTCGGCCGGTTACCGCCATACTCTCAACTTTCCTGTAGGTTTCCGATCCTTGAAACTTCCGCCACTGCCTTGTGCGGACTACTGGTACTTTGCCTTCTCATGACACTGAAGGGCTCCAGCAAAACTGTGCCAATTGCCAAAACAAGACATCACAAGGTCTCACAAGATGTCCCAAGCACAAATGCGGTAGGAAAGAAGATGCAGCGAATCCTCGGTTTGGACCCTTGCCAGAAACTTTTCTTCGCCAGTCACGAAAGTTTATGCTTTGTTAGAGGTAGCCATCAGCGTATCGCCACCTGACCCAAGAACACAGAAGCTTTGCAGAGTGGCAGTGGAAGCAATGAAAGCAACCTTCCTTGAGGAATTGGATAGAGCAGCTTTGAGTACTGCAACAAACATTTAGACCCACAAACCAGCCTTGACATCAGATCAAAGTAGCGGCAACGATTTGTTGCTAGACCTGCATACTTGCGGAGCAATGTGAAGAGCGAAAAGTGCAAAGAGGCATGGACCGCGAAATGCGGATTTGTCTCCCTTCAAGTCTACTTAAGGTTCACAGTGATCTTGAGCGAGACTGAATAGAATCTGAATCCGTCCGCCTGTCAGCATGTCTGATGGGTGTTCTTGATTGTGATACTGGTTGTTAACTACAGTTGTTTCTCAAATTCTCCTCCTGCGTGGATTTGTGCTTTGGCTGCAAACTCCCATCCATCTGCTTGCTTGCCTTTCTCTTCTTATTCTCTTCTCTTCGTCTTTCTCTCTCTCTCTCTCTCTTACGGAATCTTCTCATATCTCTTTTCGGGTCACTGCGCCCAGTCCCAAGAATACTGCATGCTTCTGTGTTTTAAACATTTTCCCGTCTGAGTTTTACACTCACTGGCGTCCAACTAGCTGCACCACTAAAAAGCTTTCACACAAAACTTGCTTTTGCACCCCCCTAGCGGCCCTAGCTTTGATTCATGAATCAAACCTGCTCTGACACCATCCCGTCTGTGCACCTGTCTGTTGATCAAACCAGTTTTTGCAACAACCAGATTCATTAATTCATAGTCGCGCTGGCTTTACAACAGCCAAATGGTCTTTATGCCGACCAGCACTTGCTTTCACACCAATTCGCATCTCAAAAAAAAACTTCTCACGTTTGGATTATGGCTCGAGGACCATGACCCCACCATGCATTAGCCGGCTGGCGGAATGGTACTGGGAGGCCCCAGTATCAAATCAAAAAGTCGGTTGTTTTGAATCCAAATGCATTGCACTTTCCATCTCAGCACCTGCCGCTTTCAGGCATCGATTCTCTGCCTCAGTTCAGACAGCCGAGTGACAGGTGCTGAGACCTGCTGAGACATGCTGAGACATGCTGAGACCTTTAAAGAGTTTTAAAGAGAATTGGGACGCAAAGTGTGATGCCCGGAACTGCTCTGAGGTACTCACTGTGCAAAGCCACAGCATGAGCTCTCGTCTTGAGGTCACCGGCGGTGGTCCGTGTTCTTTGACAGCACGACTGTATCCATGAGCCTTACGCAGGAAATAACGCAACAGTGCCCAAATAGATAGATACGCAGGATGCAATTTTTTTCTATTCAGTTCTGTCCAGTCTGTTCACATACATGGCCACAAAATGGCACACAAGAGTGAAATTGCTGAGTAAGTGTTTTAGCAGTCGTGTGAGCATACAACAAGACTCTAGCACAAGGACATATGACAAGGCCGGTGGCTTGAAGGCAGAACATGCTAAGCAAAGCACATATGGTCCATCACGACAGAGATCCTACAATTTTTCATGTTTTCTCGCAAATACCAGCGGTAGTTTGACCGTCCCCCTACATCCTCCCCGACACAAGATGCACTGAACGAGTGAAAGCATACATTACCTTTCCTGAAAAATTGTTGAGAGAATTCACACACTTGATACAGTAGCACCGCCAAGAAGAAGGAACGCAAGCTAGCAGAGGTTCGGTGAGTGCGGCAAGCTGTCCAGCCTTTTTCCCTGTGTAAAGGAAGAGCCACTACAATGAAGCGAACTTTCGTGACCAGGGCTGTTGGCTTTCAATGCGCAAGGAGCATTAATATAAAACCTGGACTTGGAAGCTCCGGACATGTAGGGGAAAAAATCCAGCCATATCCAGCCGCAATTAATTGACCTCCACCCTGACACTTAATTGTCATTTTTTCTGACATATCATCTGGAAAATATATATATATTATATATATATGGTGTAATCTTCTGGCATTCTATTCTGGCAGTCTATCTGAGAGTCTATCTGACATTCTATTCTGGCATTCTATCTGGCATCTTTTCTGGCATCCTATCTGGCATCCTTTGTGGCATCTATACTATACTGGCATTTTCTCTGGCATTCTATCTGGCATTTTTCTGCCATATGTTCTGGCATACGTTCTGGCAATGTTATCTGGCATTCTGTCTGTCATTCTATTCTGACATTCTATTCTGGCATTCTATCTGGTATATCTTCGCAGATTTGTGGTTGAGCTCCGGCGGGGAACACTTTGATCCGGAGCTTGCAGTCGGGATCCAGCGGGGAACACTCTGATCCTGAGCTTGCAGTTGAGGTCCGGCGGAGGAAGGAGGAAGATGAGGAGGCGGGACAGCTGACATAAAATCTAACAACCCTCACCTGACAGGTGGAGAAAAATCAAACACCTGTCCATCTTGTCACAAATGCAGAGCAGGCAATGGACATTCAAAGAAGGTCTCTGCGGAAGGTTTCTGCGGAATGCTGTTTGATTTCAACTTATCTCTGAGCCACGGCGAGTGCAGCCAAGGAAAGGCCATCCGAACAGTTCTGACAGTATAGTGAAGAAGTCACATCAAATCAAACAACGATATGACTATATGCAACTATGCAATGACAACATTTTGATATATATAATATGTATATAAATGTACCCTACACTGCACAAAGTTCAGGGTGATCCTTAAGCAAACTGCTCCAAAACTGTCCAAAACATTGGGGAATTGACGGAATCGATGTGTGCTTCTAGCGAAGTCCACCGAGTCAAGCCCACCAGTCCAGGAGTCTTGGGGGGTATCTATGGTAGTACCCTTGTGCTGATAAAGCCACCTTGCCTTGCTTGCAGTTCTTACAGCTAGCACAGCTAGCACAGCTAGCACAGCTAGCACAGCTAGCAGTTAGCGAAAGCTAGCTTTCATACAAAGGACTATCTATTGTGAATGTGTTGTCAAGTTGTCAAATTGATGCAGGCGCACATGCCAAATTGGGTTCGCGTTTCTACAAATTGCACGGTAGTTGTCGCATCTTCCCTGGCTTGGAGAACATTCCAGTGCGTTCGCGAAAATGTTCAATGCTTGGCTGTTGAACAGAATCGTGCCAAGAAAAATCAACAAAGCAACAGTCAGGGAACATGCTGTCAACTACCTCAAAGATACAAACCAAAGCTCGGGACACTTTGACAAAACAGATTCACAGTGGGACGGAACACAAACACTGATCTTCGTAACGTCAACACTCTAGCGTGAAGTACTGAAATGTACTGCCTCCAATCCAAGCCCTTTTGGTCTCTTCTGGTCTTTTTTGTCCTGGAATTTGTGGAAGAAGGTCTCTAACGCCTCCTGCAAACAACAAGAACTGTTCACGTGTATTGCTTCAATGTTGACGCTTTGCCTACAAGGCTGCACTGCTATATCCTGAAGCTCAATGTGTTCCTCTTTTTTTTTTGACAAAATCTTTTTGGCCTGCCATGCAGCCTTTTTGTTGTGACCCTTGCTCTTCCAAATATTCATCGTGTTTTTCTTGTCTCCATCTTATTTTCCCTTTTTGCGCACACTTCCGTTTCATTCTTTTCGTCTGTCAATGACTTCTTTTTTCCACCGTCTTAGTGCTGCAGCTGAGGCATAGCTTTCTGCTTGTGCCTCCGCCACTCAGTACGTCGTGGTGAGTCGGTCCTTTTCATCTCTATTCGGCACTTCTGGAGAGTATGCAGCAGTTGTCCAAAGAAGGAGCCACCTCAGAATCTCACGGAGTTCGCATGGAAATTTCACTTCTTGAGCAAGAAGAACCTGCCGCATGGTGCCACTGAGCTCAACTAAGTTGGCTAAGTCACTGTGCTCCACAAATGTCTGTCGTCTCATTTGATGTTTGCAATGAGGCCGACATGGCCTGAGGAGATGTTCCTTTTGTCGATTTAAAGTGACAGAGTCAAAGGGCATCGAAGAATGATGTCAGCATTTAAGGTGCCTACGAAGAAACTTACATTTTGGAAATTACCCTTTAACATATTTTGATATGACATTTAAACTGGACTCAGATGTATGCGACTGGGTGTATTTGCAGGTACCAGTCCCAGATGGGAAAATGATTCGTGAAGAAGGGTTCCCATCAGGTCCTGCTTCAGGGTATCAATTTGTTTCTTTGTCTAAATCGATTAGCCATAAAAATCGCCTGTTTTTGACAGCTGTTCTGAGCCAAAATGAAGCAAAAACAGAGCCTGCAACTGTGTCCGGAATGTCAAGAGTCGCACAGAAAGCACCACAGGACCATCCCAAGCACACTAAGCATACGGAAGCACAAGCACACTGTGCACATTCAGTTCTCGCCTTGCGCACTCACCTATT